ACAAAAGAGATAACTTCTGACCTGAAAAATTTACACCCATATTTTCCCAGACTTTATGGCCTTCCCAAAGTCCACAAAAATAATTTACCTCTTAGACCAATAGTTTCCGACATTAATACTCCCCTATATAAACTCTCAAAATACATAAGTAACATTTTAACTACAATAACAAAACAATCACCACACTACATAAAAAATTCTTATGAACTCGTTACTGACTTAAAACACAAGATAAATTATATACCAGACAACTACAAACTAATTAGCTTAGACGTAGTCTCACTTTTTACTAATGTACCCCTAGACCTTATTTTAGACGCAATAACAATCCGATGGAATGAAATTTCCCCGTTGACTTCTTTATCTTTACACTGGTTCAGGGAAACCGTCAAGTTCATTGTCTCTAATACTTATTTTGAATTCAATGGCTCTTTCTATTATCAAATTTTTGGGGCGCCAATGGGGTCCCCAGCAAGTCCATCTCTAGCAGAAATATCCTTACAACTCCTTGAAAATACAATTTTCAAAAATTACAATAAACATATTTTTTATTACCGTTATGTAGATGACATTATCACTTGTATCCCTAGTGATGATGTCACTATGATAATTGATCAATTTAATAACGTCAATAAAAAATTAAAATTTACAGTGGAATTGGAGACAATGAACTCGATCAGTTTCTTAGACATAAAACTTATACGTACTACAGATAACAAACTAATAACAAATTGGTACCAAAAACCGACTAATTCCGGACGCTACCTTAATTACTTTTCTTATCATCCACTCAAAATGAAAATAGGTACTATAATAAATCTAACGGACCACGCAATACTTCTATCGGACAAAACATTTTGGGACAACAACATCAAATTAATTACAAAAATTTTAACAGATAACTCTTATCCCCTAAAACTTATAAATTCCGTAACTAGTAACAGACGAACGTACCTTTTGAATAAAATGGACAATTGCACAGTACATAACGATTTACCTGACTCAGAAACTCATTCTGGTGTAATATGTTTGCCATACATTAAAGAATTGTATGTTCCTTGGAAAAAACTTTTTTATAAATCTGGACTTCGACTTGTAACCAATTTTAGTACAACTACTAGCACTATTTTTACCAAGACAAAAACCCCATTTAATATTGAACGACTCAGAAATCTCGTCTATCAAATAAATTGTTTAGACTGTAATTTAATTTACATAGGAGAAACTAGCCAGAACCTCAATAAACGGTTACAACAACATAAAAACAATTCAAAAAACCCCAAACAATTCAAAACAGTTCTTGCAGACCATATATACACTTTAAAACACAATATGGACTTTTCTAATCCGACTGTACTACAATTTGAACAAAATTTATTTAAACGAAGAATTATAGAGGGATCTTTTTTAACTATTTATAACAATAAGACAATAAATAAACGGAATGAACTCAACACGCTGTGCGACACAAATCTCTTCTATTTAGATAACATTTCCAAATTTCTTACAAAACAATAAAAGCGTTCGCGCAAAGGTTTTACAACTCGTTCCACACATGTGCAGAATCTTGGTAAAAATATTTTTTAGAAAAATGTCTTTCTCCATTACATCTTCAACCAGTCTACGAATAACACACTATCCATTTGTGATTTTTTCAAATCAGTATTTTGTGAAAATATTGTGTAATTTCAAGTTAATGTTTATAATACATAGTGTAGTGCATTACCATATCCTAATACCATGGATTACTAAAGTTTTCCAAATTAACACTAAGATCAACTAATTGTAAGTACTAATTACTATTTTATTTTTTCTTTTCACTCCAATTCAATTGTTTTAGTTTTTAATTTTATTTTTAGTTTCCACTGAATGAAGGCTAGGATTATAGCCGAAACGTATGGATTTAAAATAAATTTTTGAAAGAAATTCATGTTTTTTATTGATGTTATGCCCGATTATTAGACTTTGTTAATATATATATATATATATATATATATATATATATATATATATATATATAGCTATCACGAATAGCGCCTATAATAACACAAATAAAATATTTTCTTGAGCATACAAGGCATAACAAAAATTAAATGCATATCTACTCACTTTGCTACCAGCGATCTAGTTTCGAAATCTAAATTTCTCATTGATGTTGTTATTTCTAAATTTCCTACATACTGTAAAAAAATAACGACAATTAAAACTCATCATGGATAAAGTATATTTCGACATTTTTCACTTACTCGTACTGCATAAGTCACACCCTTAGTACAAATGACTTTATCAGAATGTAATTTGCTTCTAATTAATTTGGAACCTACTCTGGCCTCACCAGTATCCATCATGTTATATTTTTACTTAATATACAAACAATACTGCAAAACAATAGCTGGATGATTAAATATGGTACGATCAAAATTTTAAATCGCAGGAAAACAAGGATATAGTTGTTAAAAAGAATTAGTCATTTCTAATAAAAATGTCAATTTACGTATTTGTGTTTTCATTGAATTTGAAGCGTTAAAATGACAGCTTGACAGAAATTATTTCAATGACTCATACATACGTATTCACATACGTAAACGCACACACACACACACACACATATATATATATATATATGTATATATATATATATACATATATATTCTGTATAGTATCACAGACCCAGTTTGTGTAGTGGGCCAAGGGGGGCTACCGGGTGACAACGCTTCGACCATGTTTACTTATCTATGGCTTCGACCATGAAAATAGTACATAAAAATTGCTAGAAATTGCAAAATTGCACAACCATGACATATCTATGCATACTGCGAATGCCAATTTCTTTTATCTATTCTATTTTTATCTAGTAATTTTTCTCAACCAGTGTCGTCCATATTAATGAAAATTTGCACCGCAAATGGCGTAAGTGATGCAACACACAGATTACTATCATATTCGCTATGTGTGTGACTGCAGCGCCAGACTAAATATAAACTGTAAATAATATATAATAAAGAAGTTATAAAAAAAAAGTGAAAGTTGAATAGTTGTTGACATTTTAAAATTTACTTCAACGCACTTAAAACACTTGTATGTACAATGATAAAATAAAAAAATTTAGTAAACATTTATTTATGTTGAATTGCTTAAAACTTGTGTCAAAATATCGGAATAGTTATTAAAAACAAAATCTGAATAATGATAAAAATATTTTGTCAATAGAATAAGTAAATGATGATTTGATTTACTGATTTTTTTTATTATTTTTGGTCAAACTAAAGACACGATTTGAGTCCATCACCCACCAAATGAAATTCCAGTCGGAAACAATAACCAAGAGAAAAAAAACTGCATTACTATATTAACATATTTTGGGAATGCAACTTATTCCAAAACGAAAGATCATTAAAAAGAGTGCGCGTAAGGATCACACGCGATTGAAGTAAAACTTTTAATATTGTATGAGTAGGCAATTAAGATAAAAATAAAAAAAACATCATATTTGAATTTTAAAAATCATCTTTTAATAATCACATAACATCAATAATAATAAGATCTCCTGAGCATCGGCACAGCTGTCCTACTGATATTAAGAGTTTGAATATGATGTGAAGCTTTCTTCCTAATTTTGTTACCTATCTTACCGGGAAATTCAAACCATAAACGTAGAAGTTCATCATTATCGCCACGTTCTATGTACACTAATTTTCCCACACAACCATTAGCTAAGCCATCACTTACATCAATATTAGTTGTTATTATGTAAAATTTATTCAGAACTAAAATTATTTCATACGGCAAAGCCCCGGTATCAATAACCGATTTTTTTGAAACTGCTGACGAATGTATGATTGTTGATCTGTCGCATGGCAACCTACATAAATATCCGTGGCAGTAGATATTATTGAAGTAAAACTTCTTTAGGCGCAATATGGGTGTAAAAATTTTTAGGCGCGACACGGGTGTAAATCCGTACAAATGCAACGAAAATGCCAACGTGTAGTTGAACACTACGACGCCGTAAGCGCTGATGTCGCGAGTATCCACTCCCGTCATGTCATGCGTAAGTCGAGCGCTAAACCCTATATGAACTTGCATTAATTGAATCACGTTTTTTTTACAAAAGTAGAGGTTGCTGTATTATGTCCTCATGGAATAAGACTTTTCTTAGAGAATAAATGTGCCATGGAATATAATAAATTTATATTGAATCTCGTTGAAGACAAAATAATGTCTACTGCCACGGATATTTATGTAGGTTGCCATGCGACAGATCAACAATCATACATTCGTCAGCAGTTTCAAAAAAATCGGTTATTGATACCGGGGCTTTGCCGTATGAAATAATTTTAGTTCTGAATAAATTTTACATTATAACAACTAATATTGATGTAAGTGATGGCTTAGCTAATGGTTGTGTGGGAAAATTAGTGTACATAGAACGTGGCGATAATGATGAACTTCTACGTTTATGGTTTGAATTTCCCGGTAAGATAGGTAACAAAATTAGGAAGAAAGCTTCACATCATATTCAAACTCTTAATATCAGTAGGACAGCTGTGCCGATGCTCAGGAGATCTTATTATTATTGATGTTATATGATTATTAAAAGATGATTTTTTTATTTTTATCTTAATTGCCTACTCATACAATATTAAAAGTTTTACTTCAATCGCGTGTGATCCTTACGCGCACTCTTTTTTTTTTGTCTTCAACGAGATTCAATATAAATTTATTATATTCCATGGCACATTTATTCTCTAAGAAAAGTCTTATTCCATGAGGACATAACATAAAAAACGTGATTCAATTAATGCAAGTTCATATAGGGTTTAGCGCTCGACTTACGCATGACATGACGGGAGTGGATACTCGCGACATCAGCGCTTACGGCGTCGTAGTGTTCAACTACACGTTGGCATTTTCGTTGCATTTGTACGGATTTACACCCGTGTCGCGCCTAAAAATTTTTACACCCATATCGCGCCTAAAGAAGTTTTACTTCAATAATAAATTTACACAAAGAAAATGTTATTTTCCCAATCATTGTACAAACACTAGTAGCTAGTAATAATTTAAAAATTTATAAATATATATTTAAGTTTATTAATAAAATTAATTTACAATTTAATTATTCAATAAGTATTTGTAGTAAACAATTGTATGAATGGCATCTGACCTTATGATGTATGTCAAGAGCCAATAAATAAAAAAAAAAAAACTTTTTGAAGGGAATATTGTTGGAAAGTAGCAAGGACTCAACACCTCTTATGATTTTTACATCCAATGAAAAGGTCGTTAAAAATACAATCATATGGCTTGGGAACCCACGGTGATTTATCAACACTACAAAATATATATTTTTCATTATTTCAGCATTGTGTTAACTAAACTGTTTGCAAAATAAACAAAATTTCGCTCTGTGATAACTTTTCTTAAATTAAATCATAAAATTAAAATTAATCTATAATTTTATGTAATAAATATATATGTAATTAAATTTTTAATATTTCAGCCTTGTATTAATTTAACTGTTTGCAATTTTTTTCTTTAATCATTAAATTTTGATAATTAATGATATAACAATTTATTGACTTCTAAATTTTCTATTTGCTAAACATAAGAATTTTACAACAATTTATAATACTCCAAATTGTATTTTTTTTATACAATAAGGTTATGATACTTAGTTTAGCCTTTTTACAGCAGCTTTCCACTGTTCATGTTGATGTAATTTCCATTTGGCTGTAGAAAATTTATAGAATATACACTCGCTTTTCCTACTGTTATTTTACAATCTACTACACAACAACTTCGATGTCTCATTTTTATTTAATTTATTTAAATATGAAATAAAAACATATTTTACGCGTATTTGTTCACTATTTCGGTTATAATAGCATAGACAAATAAATAAGCATAATATAATAGCCTCCCGTATTGCTCAAAATGACCACTACGAACGCTCCAGTCAATTTGAGTTCTCCCTTCCATGCCTTCACACATAGCGAATTGAAGTAGGCGATAACAAGCCAATAACCCTAAACAATTGAATCATAGATAAAAGAAGAGTATTGAATATTAAAATTGAATGATAAAAGAAGTGAATTGAATATTAGTACTAGTAATAACGGACGCAACTGACATATTGCATCTAGTAACCCTCGCAAAAGGGTTTAATCCATCTTGGATAATCAGGTCGCTCTTTTACTGGCTGATTATTTCGTCTGTTGTTGAGTTCATTTTGAAAATGTCTGGTTCGGAACGGTCAACTGCATCAACACTTTGGGAGGCCACACATGGATCGCTCAATAATATAGATAATGAGTCGATGGATTTAATAACCAGATTATACAAGGAACGCGAATTCTTGTATGACGTTACTGACCCTCCCTATAGCTTAAGTGATCTTAGCACTATCAACGATAATCAGCATACAAACGCACGTGTAGAAGCCGACGACTCCTGGGATGAAGCTGCTGAGCATACATACAGATTAAGTAATGAGAGCACTACCGCAGACACACAGTATAATACCATTGTAGACGACGAGGACTGGGATGGAGTTTCTTTGATTGATTCGTTTGGGCATAGAACCGCACGTGCCTCTGAAGACAATCACTTATCGGAGCAATCTGCTTACGATATATATTATGCCACCAATCGAACTACTATTCCATTTATGGAAGATGCTCCAGAAGCATGGTTCATGGTCTTAGAAGCAGATTTCCAGGCTGCCAAGCTTGTAAATGATGACATCAAATACTCAATAGTTCTGCGAGCGCTTGATGTAGAGACCTTACAGCTGATTCAAGATATTCTTCAAAATCCGCCACCTAATGGTAAGTACATTCACCTAAAAGACGCAATACTGAGCAGAGTACCCGAATTCAGATTACAAAAAATTAATAAACTGGTTAAAAATTTAACCCTCGGAAATAAAAAGGATGATGTGACAGATAAGTTAGTCGATTTGGGTAGCTCATATTCCAAACTCGAACAAAAATTAAAGGATAACAATGAACTGCTCAGGGCATGTATGGAAGAAATAAGGGATTTGAAGGACACATTATTAACTGTGAAGCAGAATATAGATCAAATGCATATTGATCGTACAAGGACAATGTCTGAATTGCCTGTATGCTACTACCACGGTAGATTCGGGGATAAAAGTTATAAGTGTTTACAGCCATGTAGTATGAACCATTTAATCTGAGCAGGAAACTGAGAAAAATATCGAGATTCAAACTCTAGGAAAATTGAGCTCTGACTAAATATGGCTCATCAAATGGGATGGCATTATCCTTTCTGAGAGATTCATGAGCCATTATCTCGATGTGACCAGCACAAAAACACCGTTTTGGAAATTTGAGAGACAAATATGTACGGTCAAGAAAACTATGCCTCTCATGAAAACTGTTTTTGCTTGGGCATTTCAACATGCCCAAACCTTTATTATTCTACTGTGTTAATATTTGGATTGTGTGATGTAACAAAATATTGCAAATAATA